GGCTAATGTAGCTCACTTAAGTGTCAACTCATGTCAGAGGCTCCCAGGGAAGGAACACCATGTGCGTCAATTACATTTCTGGTCAAATGTATTTAAATATCTATCAAAATTCAATTATGTAGACCCAGTAAATAATTTCTTCTAAATTTGAAAGGAAGCATGATACATAGTAACTTCAGTTTTTCCCTGAAACTTTCCCTTAATCATAGTTTCAATATATTGTTGTAGCAGCCTTCACCTCATCATGTGAAGGCAACAGCAAGCTGAGTCCTGTCCCAGCCTCTTCGCGGACCACCTTCCTGAGTAACCTTAAAGCACGTCACTTCCCTTCTCTGGACTGTGCCTCAGTCCTCTTATCTATACAGTGAAAGTATTAAAGTTTTAAATATTGAAATTGAATTAATGACTCTTGGATTTTGCTACCAAAGTACTATTTTTAAATACTCTCCAAGCGAATATGTATATTTCTAAGCACACAGAATTTTAACTTAAAGTCAGATATAAACTTTTTTTTTATTGCTGCAAAGACTTTCATTTTGAAGTCTGACATGTCCTGTTATTGGTATTTGTTCAGCCATTTGGATAAAATGGATGTGTTTGAGACTGCCTTGCTACACATGTTATTGTTTGGTTCTAAAGTTTTGTTGCTTTTTGTTCGTTTGCCAGAAGAAATTTATTCTGCTAGCAATTTCAGCCTAATTTTGGAGTCAGATTAACAAATAGGTGGTTTTCTGTTCTTTTCTGTAGACCTTGTCTTCATATCTCCATTGGCCAAATACTTGAGTGTTTACTGTCTGCTAGATGTTAGGACGAAGAAAAGAACTGTAATGTACAGTCCGAGAGCCTACAGTGCAGTTGAAGTCTGTAAACACACAACCAAAGTTAAACAGCTGTACAAGACAACGCAGGGGATAATATGCTTGATTGAGTGTCGAATGACAGAAGCAGACAATAAGTGTGATAACTGCAAAGAAGGGAGAGATCTCAGCACAGTCCATACTGTAGTAGTTGAAAGACCTATCTAGACTTGGAATTCATGAAAGCATTCACTTCTGAGCCAGATGCTGTATTCACAGTTCAGTCAGCTAATCTGATGCACTGCAAAACCCATTCTCAAGTCCCATATTTTTGGGTGTTCTCCAAAAATTTGCCTCTTGAGGTTTGGCTTTATGTCTTTGAAACAGATGTGTACTTTTAGCTCTCCCTCAAGTTGAAATGCAAGGTGATTGTATGACCTGAAAAACTTGTTTTTGCTGGATCAATGCTGGTTGCCCATCAGGTAAATTTAAAAGTGGTAGGGAGTCTTCTGCCTAGCAAACAAGATGGTTAATCTTTTAGGGACTTTGCTTAGATCTCTTCATCATAATTCATCATAATCTTTGGAACAAATATTGTACTTTAGCAGACAAATCACAGTATGGTATATGTGGTCTTCATTTTAGCTATCAAGACTTGTCATTATTTGTCTGTGAGAACCAATAGGGCAAAGATAACTTGGAGCCCAAAGATACCATTGTCCCTGTTGAAGCATTTTAAGACTGTATCTCTGAGGACTCTTCTCTGGTGTTTGCAGACAAGACTTTCCTTCTGCATTATCGTTGAAAGATTTTCCAGAAATACGGTATACCACTCAGAGAGTTCGTAAGATTTAGTGAGATTTGTCTCCTTCCATTTCTGTTGTTCTGAAGTCATTGCCACCCGAAAGCTTGTGTGTTCCAGTGTTTTTGTCTGCTTGTGAATCTGACAAAGGCTTGATATGTATCCTAAAAGAATAGACCATCCTAGACTCCTAGCCATACATTTATATTTAGGCTTTCAGTTTTGGAGGTAAGGGATCTGGTAAGCACATGTTAAAACTGCATGAACAGGCAGGCATCTGAGTTTATTTCCTGGCGTTTTGGGAAGCCTACTGAAGAGTGGAGTGAAATATTCTGGATCCTTCATTAAGAGGATATATAAAAGGAAAAAAAATTAGAAAATCCATAGTACAAAACAGTGTAGTTCAATAAAACTTTCTGTAATGATGGAAACGTTCTGTGTTTGCTGCAGTTCCGTGTGATAGTCACCAGCCACATGTGGCTGTTGAGCTTTTGGAATGTGGCTAGTGTGTTTGAGGAACTGAATTTTTAATTATATTTCATTTTAATTAATTAATTTTTAAATTATAAATAACTACATGTGGCTGCTAGTGGCTACCATATTGAACAATGTAGGTAAAAAGTTATTATTCAGAATATTAAAGAAGTCTTTATTTTATGAAAGGATTCTCTTGGCTACACACTCAAACCTCCAAAAGGAGCTCAAAGTTTCTTCTTCTTGCCCTCCCTGTCTCTTTACCCCTGAGTAGGAGGAACCTCGTAGAAGTCAAGAGATATGGTCCACCATCACAGGAAGAGGAACTTTTCCTGTAAGGAATAAAGTATTATAACCTCAGTTGGCTGGAGCAAACCATGTCATATTCTTGGTTCTCTAGGACAGTGCTGTCCAATAGAACCTTCTGTGGTGATTTGAGTGTTCCGTATCTACACTCTCCAGCAGCCACTGTGCAGTAGCCACTGGCCACAGGTAGTGATTGAACACTTGAAATGTGACTGTGAAACCAAATTTTTAATCTCAATTTAAATTTAAATAGCCATATGTGGCTAGCTAGTGGCAGTTACATTGGCCAGAACACCTTTGGAATAATGGTGATCAAACTTTTTTGCTTATGTACTCCCCAAAGAGTTTTGAAATCCGTGCACTCTTGAACATTTTAAAGCTGACATTAAAATTTTTTCATCACATGTTTGGAAGTTTATGGGAAATTAACAGGATATAGGACATATTAAATCTAGTATAAGATGAGTAAGATGAGAATTGGCTGTAAAATTTATTGAATAATGTACCCTGAATCTGAAAGATTCACTCCAATTCTTATCTATAGGTTTTATCAAATATACGTTGAAAATGTTGATGATCAGACAGTATTACACTTACATTTAAAAATAAACAATATCACTAACCTATATTCCTCTGGCTATTCTAAATTCAGCAGCCAAGCTTCATGCCTAAAAAATACATGCAAGACTGAGAATGACAGGAATCCCTAAGGTTTAAGGTGCCTTGATCTGTCATTAAAAAAGGCATATAGGTACCACAATTAAAGACCACTGCTTTAGAACTTTGAGCGTCTTTTCGATATCCTTCTTGGCAGATGTAGAGGGCCTGGGCCCTCGAATTCCACTGCCCATGGGAAACAGGAGAGAGGTGTGGAGCTTAACGGTTGGCTGAAGTCCAAGCACTTGGGGGAGGATTTGGAAATCTTACCCATTCCCTGTCATCAGACTCATCTGACAACTTCATCACAGGGTTTCTTTAAATACTAAGGTCTGAAATAAGGACTTCATTTTTTTTTATTATTCACCAACAGATACTCGAGTGCCTCCTGTGGGAGGCCCTGGAAATACAGCAGTGTACCATTTACTGCCAAGGCGTCCGCCTTCCAGGGCAGGAGTCAGGCTGCTAAAGCGCCAGTACTGTGACCACGGCCCGGGTGTTGTGTGGACATTAGGCTCATGGTGCTGCAGGCACACACAGGGAGGGCATGTCAATTTAGGCTTTCAGGAAGTGGATCGCGAAGGTGAGGGGGTACTACACTGGGCAGAAGAGAATAGAGATGGATCACTAGTTGGGGTAAAAGCCCAGAGGCAGCATGGCCTAGAGTGGTGCAAACTGCAGATACAGTGAAATCTATTTTGTCCAAGAATCCAAAGTTGGAAGCATCCGAATAATGCAGTTCCAAACATTTTAAGTGATCAGCTATTTAAAAAGTCATGCCTTTCCGTTGAACAGTTTGCCGTAGCGCATGAAGGTATGCTGTAGACACCATGAGTGACTGTTTGGTGGTGTCATCAAGGACCTTGTCAAAGGGTGGAGCCGATAGTTTTGGGATAACTGTGGACATACCCATTCTAGAAATTTATATGTTTTGGTAAATAACTTTTATAATTTGAATTGCAGTTATGCAAATACCCATTATCTAGCTCATTCCTTAATTTATATACTAGAAAGAAAAAACAAAGCAATGCATCTTTTTGAACATACAACAAGAAGAAATATATTTTACCCTGTGGCCTAGTACTCACGTAACATACATATATGTGCATAAATATATACATGTATATGTATAACTGAAACAAATTTCACAAAATAATAATGCTTATATAGCATTTACTATGTGTCATCCACTGTTCTTAGTGCTTTACAAATATTAACTTATTTAACCCACATAATGACACTATACTTAACTGTGCAGTACTCTCTGGTATGTTCCACCCTATCTGAATGCAGATCTTCTAGCCCCAGCGCCTCTTGAGTAACATAAGTCTGCAGTGCAGCATGTGCCGGCACCTGGCAGGGCCTCTTTCTCCAGCACTGCACGCCCCCCGCCAGTGCTTTTCAGCATTGCCTCCCCTGGCACCCCGGCCCCTCTGGTACGTCATCTTTCCTCTACCCCAGCCACACTCTCAGTGTCTCCGGAAGTTCCCTCACCTAAAACAGGTGCAAAGAAGACCTGGGAGGATGGGGGCGACCGCACCCACTGGTATTGGGCAGCGGGCTTACTCCTTGGGGACTGGCAGCTCAGGGTCACGTTGGTCCCCACGTGGGGCACGCCCCGGAGGCGGCAGGATGGAGGAGCTGGAGGAACTGGGGTAGGGGAGACAGGTTAAAAGCTCACATCCGGGGGCCAGCGGCTCCCCTCCCCCGCTCCCACACACGGACCCCCATCACTCTGTTTGCCCCTCCCCCAACCTTCACACTCAGTCACTTGGGGGAGAGACCTGCCCGACCTCCCACGGGTGCCTCTCACTTACCCAGCACATTGAGTTCTAAAGTCTTGCTGCTGTGACCTCGAACAGCCTTGACTGTCTTGCAAGTTCACGGAACAGAGGTAGGGTCCGGAGTCTTTCTCCTGGAGGTCCTGCAGCCGCAGTGACACATTCCGGGAGGGCATGGGGTAGACCAGGGATGCTCCAGGTTTGCTTGATGTGACCCCACTGATGTGCGCCAACACCTGGTGGGCGGGCGTCACACCTCCCCATTATTACTTGTCTGCTCTGTGCCCAGGGCTCAGCTATTCCCCCTCCTCCAAACTGGGGGTCTTCAAGTGCCCCTCACCTGCACCACCCCTTCTAACCTCTACCAGCTCTCCATTCACCCCTGTGTCCCTAGCTACCGTCTCACCGCCCCGGGTGCTCTGCACCAGAACAGGTCCTGTTCCCCTGGGCGCTGTCTCTTCATCTCCCACTTGGGGTGTTTAGAAAGGTGCCCGCAACTCATTAAAATTGCCCAACGTACTGATGGGCCAGAACCTGCAGTTAGATAAGAGAGGAATGGAAGAGAATGAGGTGAGATCAAGTTGAGAGATCATTGTGCTACTTTAGACTTAAGGTATCAAAACTCCAGAAACATCATTAATTTGGAACAGGTCATGTCCCAGATATTCTGGTGAAACATTTTATACTGTGTAGTTCTAGACAGCTGGAGCCTAGGGTTTGAGGGAAAGGGTGAAAGGAGGTGGGAAGCAGTACGAAATGAGACGGGAGACATAAACACGAGGTCAGATGATGGGCTAAGGAGTTTGGACTTTATCCTGAATTATCAAAGAATTTTCAGCTGGGGAGTGGCATGGTTCATCTTAGGTTCCAGAACTGGCTGGAAAATGAATTGGAAAGGGTGAGACTGGAAGCACAGAGAGCATTTAGAGGCTCCTTGCAGTGAGCTAGACAGGAGGTGAAATAAAGCAGTGGCAGTGAAAATGAAGAGAAGAGAACGGATTTCAGACATAACAAAACTAGTGGAGCTGTTTCGGAGAATCAGAAAATTCTAATTTATCGGATTTATTACATCTTAACCTGGCATACAACTCACTATGTACTTCTCTACCAACTCACCCAGAGGATTCTTAGTTGTAGTCCTCAGAGATCATCACAGTACCTCATAGCCGAAGTTTTAAGAATTGGTTCTTTTTTTCTTTAGCCTTGCCACATGGCATGTGGGATCTTAGTTCCCCGACCAGGGATCAAACCTGTGCCCCCTGCAGTGGAAGCGCAGAGTCCTAACCACTGACCTGCCAGGGAATTCCCTAGAGTTGGTTCTAGAACCCAACGAGATCCAACTAAAGCACTGTTTTAGGGCAGTCCTGTCTGTGTTACATCCAGGCTATATACAGACTCTCTTGATTCAGATCTAAAATTTCAAATGTTAATTGTCATGCAGGCACTCTGAAGTCTGCTCATATCACTAGGATGAGGTGGAATAGCAGTCCCCCGTCCCCTACCCTTTGGATGGTTGTATCTGTGTAATGTTTACAAAATGTTAAAAAAAAAATGGGAGAAAAAACTTCTTGAGTTTCAAAAACAAAGACCAGTACCATAAAAAGCTCTAGATTTTAGACAGTTGTTAGGATTGCCCATTGATTATTAGGTAGTCTTTAATTTTATTTCTGTTGTGGGGATTATGCAATGTGTTCTTCTGCCTGCTGTTTACCATTGCAAAAACTCCCTTCAGTGTTCAAAATGAATGCTTAATGACTCTGTACCTCGTGTGCTGCATATGTTACAAATTATCTGGGGTTTGTAATCTAAGTGGCGTCTCCCCCCTATTGTTCTGAATAATTGAAAAATGTCTTCATATTGGAATAAGGCATGTATTTAAATCTGTATAATTCTTACCTATTCGTAGTTGAGAGAGTCCTTGAGAGCCAATGGAAATACTTTTTTTTCTTGGCACCAATCAAGTGAGTGTTACCTTGTCACTTAGTGGGTGGGATGTGGTGTTATTTCTTAGTAAAATACAGACCTGTGTTTATTCTCAGACATCTTAGGAATAACAGCCATCATCTTTTTATATATGTGTTCTTGGCTGTATTCATAAATTACATTTTTTGAGCTACCAAATAATACTTCATCAATATAAAGTGATACAGTAGAATGGAAGTTATTTACCTAGATATGTTTTCTAGTTGCATTTTCTCAGCCTGTGTAAGATGACTTTGTTGTAATAGCCTGAATTTTTGAAACTCACAATGTTGTTTCTCTCCTATCTACCTTCAGATTACTTCATTTATCCAAAAAGTCAATTATGTTTGTACTTGATATTAATAAAACCAGAATAAAGTTCATACCTACCAAAACCTGCTTTTATCATTATTATTTAAAATTTACAAATACTTTTCTCTAAATGGATAGAGCTGGTTTATGATTTAGAAAGAAGAGTGTGATAGGTCAAAAAGTACCTTGACCTTATATTTGACCTCTCAACTGCCACATACAGTCTTAAGGAGTTTTCATTTATTCATTCATTTAGTGAAAATCTATTGAGCCACTTCTGGGTGCCAGGTACTGGGAATACTTCAATGAATAAAACTGAAAAAAAACCCCACCTGTCTTCAAAGAGCTTATATTCTGGTAGAAAACAGTATATTTTAAATATGTTAATTCAAAACAACACAATTAGAAAACCGCTCAAATATGATATTCCTTTATATCAGCCTCATTGACCTTAGAAAGTTTGAGCTCTCTACCTTTCACTATGCATAAGAAATAGAAATTCATTTGCCTTGGCTTTATTAAGAATGATTTACATGATTTCATGTTACACCTTCTTATTGTGATACGTTCAGTTGTCACTTTTACCCCTCCAAGCAGCAAAGTGCCATATTGTTGGTATTCATGCAGTCATTAGATAATAAGCACGTCTGTGCTGATCCTGAAGGTGCAGTTTTCAGCAGAAATAGGTAATGTTCCTTCTCTTTTGTGCAAACTAGGAAACATGGTTAATAGTTGGGCTTGAGAAATTAGAGTTGTGCCAATTTTAGAACAATATAAAATATTTTTAATATATATTACGTAAACCACATTACAAAATTAAGAGTAAAAAGCAAGGGAAGAATTTTACCTTCTCCACTGTAGCATAACTACATATCTGTGAAATGTTATTTTTCAAGAAGTGCTGAATCTGATTTTAATTCCAGTAAAATTTCCATGCACCAAAAATGAGAGGTCTACATGCTTTTTGTTTTATTGAACTCCAAGAAAATATAAAGGTCATTCATACTTCTTATTTGATTCATGCCTGCCACCTGCTTCTTGCAAACAGGTTGCCCAGTGAGTGAGACCAAATCCTCACTCTGGATGGGTAGTTAGGATTCCTTTTTTCTCCCTTGTTTATGTATCAATGTGTTAGTCACCATATTCTTGCTAAGACTATAAACCTTTGAAAATGGTTAAATGGTTGGCTTTTAACTATAAAAGAATAAATATGAAGTTGAAGCTGTGATGACAAAGCCAGGCGTTTATGAAACTTGAATAATGTGTGGCAAAAACATGTTTGTATAACAATGTTACTTAACATGTAACAAACCTAAATCTAAACTTTTACTTATAGATTTCACATGTTATTAAACAAAACCAACTTTATACAGTATTTTTTAAGTGCTAATAAAACTAAAAAACAGAAAAATTAAGTGAGCATTCTTTTAATATTGGATGGTGTAGTTCAGCTGAAACTTACTTGCTTTTCCAAACAAGGTTCTTATACTGACTGCTACAGTAAGGTTCTTTTGAGTTTGTTATTCTTACCATGTGCTTAGTGATAAAACTTTGCTGCTACTTTTTCTCTACTTGAACTGACCTTTACATAAGGCACCCTGGTCTCCAAATGGTCGGACTATCATTTTTGTAATAATAACAAATAGTTAACATTTACTGAGTACAGGCTATTAAGCAAACACTGTTTTAAATGCTCTGCTTGAATTTTTTCATTTAACACAACAAATCTATGATGGAGGTACTGTTTTTAGCTCCACTTTACAGATGGAGAAATTGAGGCAGAGAGAGATTAATTTGTCTAATGTCACAAAGCTAGCAGGTGGTGAAGCCAGACTAAGGAGTGTGACTCCATGCTCTTAACCACTTGATTATACTGTCACCTTGTGAATTATCAGCCCACCTTTATTAAAATTTGACAGTTGAACTAATATTTTGGCAACAATGAAATCATAAAGTCATAAATGCCAAAAATACCAAAATCACATAGCAACACCCAGATGGACATCATTGTGCTCATACATGCTTCTTGTCATAGAAATGAAAACACAAATTTAAAAAATTCTTGCAGATAATTCATGGTGTCCTAAGATTGTAAACACAGTGAGAAACATTGATTTGGAAGTCCCAAGGAAGAATTTAAAACAAATGTTGAAACATAAGACTTTTATTGTAGAAGCCTCATTCAGTCATTCATTCAAGCCTTTATGTACATGATGGTATTTATTGGACTACCAACTGCTCTTAAAGGAAGTAAGTTTGACATTATAGAAGGAGAAACATTTACAAAGTAGAATTACTTTTTGACAGTAAAAGTGGGTAAGGATGTGGCTTACCAAAGGAGGCCACGGAGTGTCCATTATGCCTGCCATTGTTCACCTGATGTGTAAGTGATTTGGATACTCTTCTTAGAGATGATGAGACACTGTCTTGTATAATATAGATATACAAAGAAGGGAATATGCATATGAAGAAAGCTAAAAATAGAATCAGAAAATGAGAAATCAGAGTACAGGGAGTATAGCAGGTAAATATGGTTACTTCAGCTAAATAGTAAAACGAGCTATGAACTTCCCGGCAACCATGGCAAAAAGGTAAATACAGTGACTTTCTGTACTTTTCAATGTCTGCAGGAGAGAAGCATACCAGGTCCTAGTTTTGAAAGCTAAGATGAATTTGCATTAAGGACACTCTGATAGTGACCTTGGATAAGCTCTTACCTTTCTCTTAGTTCTCTTTTCTTTTACATAGCGATGCATCACATATCTTCTGTGATATGTAATATACTGCCCGGACCCCTCCTCCAGGAATGAGACACTGGTGCATCTCCACCAGCTGCCTGGAGCACTGATTGGTGATGGCTTCTGGTTGGATTTCTCCCAGGAATTTCCCGTTGCCCAAGGTTAGGCTCCCTCTCCAGTGGCATCCAGGACCCAGTGATTGGTCAGTGCTGAAATACAAAGGTACAGCCTCCTTGCCTCAATCCAGGGCAACTCTGAAGGGTCATCCAGGTTCCATACTTCACTTTAGGATTAACCGAGGCCTCTGCTGCAACCGTGAGTTACTTCAACTCGTCTCTCTACCCCATCCTGCTCCTCGTTTGCTCACAAGTGCTGTTCTGAAGAGCCCTCTGCTCTAAGCCTCCTGCACGGTCTCCTCAGCGTCTGTTTCCTGGGACCCTCTCTTTTAGCCTTATTGTAAAAATTAGAAATAATAAGTGTAAACTGCTTACCCCAAATCTGAGCACATGGTAGGCACTGAGAAAATGGTAGTTATGGTTTACTTTCTTTGCATGGGACATTGAGCCACCTGTGGAAATGTTTTGATTTTTGTAGAGGGTACAGACATTTTTTCATATGGTGATTGCTTTTAGCAGTCCTCATAAAGGTAAGAGTAAAATATAAAAATGCTACCAAATGAGCTATAAAAAGTGTTATGATTACCTGAATTTCTTTCTAACAACTTCCTAAATAAGTTCAGGTTGCCCAAGGACAGGCGCCTAAACTTAAAACAGGCTTATTTTCAGATTTTTCATAGAAAGTTTATATGTCAGGATGTGAAGATGTATTCTTTTCATGCATTTATGACCTATAGTTTATACCATGTAAATGCAAAAAAAAATCTTTTTTAAACCCTTTTAAAGTAAGTTAATATTTACCAGGTTTTAACAGTCGACTGAATCTTGACTTAATGCTTGTACCCAGATATCTTGATGGAGGATTTCTAATAACCTTACTTTTTAGATGATTTTATCTTAGATGTCCAAATTACTTTTTTTCACAACCAAATACATAAAACTTACTAATGGGAAAAAAATCTGTATTGTAAGTTATCTTTGCATCATAGATGGGTAGTTTTTAGTAACAAAATAACTACAAAACAGAGAATCACATGGTCACCATATGAAAGGAATCAAGTGACCTATTTCAGGGGTGAGCCTGCTCTGCATAAACATTGGTCTCATGAGTATAAGAAAGTACCTTGCTGTTTGGGAAGCCATACAATGTTGTAACGATAAAGGTCCGTGAGGATTTTTGGAATGTGTGTGTATGTGTGCACGTGTAATGCCTAACCTTTAGACACCGCTGATAACAGAACAGTCATTGCGTGATGCACGGTGTTTGTATGGCAGGACTTTAAAGATGAATGGCTGTCACTGCTATCCTAGATATATTTTAGGTAATTCTCTTGAGTGTGTTTTCTAGTTCTCACATACTAATAAAAGTTACCATTTTAATATCATCCAAATACTACTTCTAGGTGGTGCCGTGGGATGGGAAGTACTGAGAAAAGATTCAACAGAGATGCTAATGTAGCAACGTCAGAGGTAATATAGGAGGTCAGATGAAAATAACCTCTAATTCAAGTCAGTGCTTTACCAAACAACTGATTTCTTTTCCCTTTTAGGTGGGAAGCTCTAGATACATAGTGTTATCTGACTATGTTTGATGACTGACTGCTGCTTTTGTCTGAAATAGTTAAGTAGTTCAGTAAACCGTAATATTTTTACCTGTCTTGTTCTAAATGGAGAAGCCCTTGAAGATGTCTAGAAGGGTTCTTGTATCCCAAAGAAGCCCTTAAACATGACCATACATACTAGGTATAGATTATCTAGTATTGCTGCCAATATGAGATTTTGTATGAGTATCTGTATGATTTACATACAGAGTAGAGTTAAAAGCTTTATGGCCATATGAGTATAGTTCCTTGAGCAACGAAAGGTATTTGGTTCTGACAATTAGTGTTGTCCTCCTTGAGGGCTTTTTTCTTCATAATCTGAATGGATTAAGACCCTCAGCTCCTAGCATGGAGGAAGCTAGAAAGCTTAGGAGTTGATACTCAATGAGAACAAAACTTCCTGAATGATTTGTTCTATGCAAGTATTTCTCCCTCATGAAGACATACTGACCAGTTATAGACACAAAAGTGAGTCGTTGATAGGCAGATTCGGGATGAAGTGCAGCTGATAGAATTCAATCCTGGACAGTTCCCCACAAAGACTAAGGCTCCAGAGAGGCAGGAGCTCTTGGTTTCTGGTGGTCATTCTTCTGTCTGACCCTGTTAAAATCCAGGAAGCAATTGAATCCTTTTTCCTTTTCTATCTTTGACAGAACTACTGTCAAAGAATAATACATTCTTGAATATTTTATTTATTTAATTTGTAAGGCATAAGAAATAATAAAATTTGGACAGGGTTACAGAGCTCCATTTGGCAGGTAATCCCGCCCGCCCCCCCAAAGAAAGTGTAACATGGTAGATATTTAAAAATAGCCTTGCCCTCTGTTGTTAGTCCTCCTTTGTTACAAAGAAATTAATTTGCTTTGCTAATTATAACTGTAACTGTTTTATACCCTTTAGGGCTCCTACTTTTTTCAAAAGGTTTTAGGAGTCCTACCTACCTTGGATTTATTGATTTTTATAAATATAATCCATCGTTGTGATTAACCAATGAGTTTCCTGATTTTCTTTGCTAAAAAATTTTTGATCTTCTTGGTAGTGATTTACTACTTTAAAATTACCTCAATTCATTTAATAAATATATATTGAACAATCCTTATGTGATAGGCACTATTCTGGGCTCCGGGAAACAGCGAACTAGGTAGACATAACCCCTACCTCATGGAATTTACAATCTAGTGGAATAGCTTTCTTAGGATACAGTAACATTTTGTGAGTGGCATTTGGTAATTTTTCTATGCAAATGCCTTTTGAAGGAATACTCACTTGTCTTGGGGCCTCCACTCCGCATTTGTTAATTAGACCTAGATGATCTCTAAAGTTATTTTCCATTCAAAACTTCTCTAATGTTTTGGAGGTTGGAACCTGGTTTGCTATCAGAGTGTTGGGCAGCTCCACCCGCTCTCTGTCAATCAGTGTATTACAGAAAGTTTTAGAAAAGAGGCACTTGGCAAGGATGGTGACACAGATAGGTAATTAATAGTATTAAGTGCTGCAGGAAAGTCAGATGAGTTAAGGACAAAGTTTGAGGACCGTTGTTCTTAGTAATTAAGAAGGCATTGCTGACCATGACAGTTTCAGTGGAATAATGGATCAGATTTTGATCCCATTGAGTTAAGGATTGAATTAGTGTAGACATTGCCTATTCCTTTTGAGTCCCTTTAGTCTTCAGGCAGTGTTAAAATGGGGAAATGTTAAGGCTTAGCCATTATCCACTAAGGAAGGTAGTCAAGACTTACTTTCCTATACTTGTTTCTAGGTGTGTGCATTTCCCTAAGTTGTTACCTTAGGTAATTTATCTAGCGTCTCTATTGATAAGTTAATCAGATAGTGAATGATCAAGTACTATGTGATACAACTGGAACAGGTGATCAACATGTTATGAATCATTTATTATTGTTTAATTGCCACTTCACAAAAAACATTTCTTCCCCAGCAGGTAGAAAAAGAGCGCTATATTTTTGTGAAGAGTAAGTTGATATCCTTGTATGCTTTTACTGATAGAAATTGTTTCTTTCAAGAAATGGCAATTTTGCTAATTTACCTCTTAAAGGAAATATTAATGCTGCTTTATCTAAATGAGCAGGATACTGAGGAAACTGGAGAAGTTATTCTTGAACTGGCCCCAGTCTCCAGACTCTCTTGTAAAACCTATGACACAGACTAAGTCTACCTCATTTTAGGGTTTCTGACTAATACCTATTATATTTTTTTACGGAAGAAACAACCACATGGCGTAGAGCTGAGTTTCTTAACGGAAGGTTCTTGTATGAGCTCTTCAGAGAGTCCATGTTCCCCATGACATTGTGTGGAACAGTTTCGTATGTGTGTTCTTCTGGGGAGGGAATCCAGGACTCAAAAAAGTTAAGAACCTCTGCTCTGGAGTGGAAAAGGAAAAGGAAATCTTAAGAATAAAAAGGTTTCTCACTTGCCAAAACTTCTGTAGCACTAAGAACCGGGGAGTGTGAAACAAGTGCTGTGTTTTTGGTTTTGGTTTTCCTCTTGGGGTTTTTGGTTGGTTGTTTTTAAAGGATTAGGTGATTGGCAAGTCAGTTTGCCAAATGTTAATGTACAGAAAACCTAAGAAAGCAGGTAGTAAAGCTGCTACTGGCCCCAGATGGATTTTACCTTAAGTGACTTCCTCATCATTAGTTACAGCTCTGTGTCAAAAATATATATAGCAATTTATACTATGTCCTTAATATCCCTCTTACTGTGCAGAAATGTTTTTACAGTTGTCTGCCATTTCAGGGTTTTTTTCCCCCCTGCATTTGTGCTCACAGAAAATAAAACTTAAGAAATCTTGAGTCTTTCTTAGAGATATTGAAATAAACTCAGTATTGTTCTGTTGCCTCAGTTAACTAAGAGCAACTAATTGCAACACAGTAAAGCAGTAGCTTCACTTTACAGGAAGAGGATAGATCTGTTTCACAAAGCTTCTTTTGCTTTGCAGTACACATCTGCTTAGGCTGAACACTTATAAACAGTCACTGGAGATTTGCTCCCAGTGTAATTTCCCCTATCTCTTGTGGAATATAGTATGTGATTTTTAAGATTTTGTTTGCAAATAAGTATATTCTTTATTTAATCATTTGGGTTAAAGAATTTTAAATTTAATCATATTTAGTTGGCAGAGGGTTAAGATAAACTATAATATGTAAGTCATTTCTCGTATGGCCAGTTTGACAACTACATTTGAAAATCTGTTTCACTGCTTGTTTTTTCTTATAACACTGTTTCCTGCTGTTAGAACTAAGCTGTCCTCCCTGCAGTATGACTATTTTCATCTGACATCTTAGACTGATCATGCCGGTGTTTTCTAAACAACACGTTTATATGGCAATTATGCCTTATTTCCGTTCCTCCCTGTTATATACCCTGTTCCATCGATAGACAGTTCTGTTAGAACAGTGGTTTTGTCATGGTGATGATTTTATGATTGTATGAAATGGGGCACATTTTGAGAAAATGATTGAGCCAGCAGCAGAATTGGTTGGCATGTGCTCATATGATTTTTTTAGCTTGCTTCCTACTTTGCCATACCAGGGAGGAATTCTATTCTCCCCACTTCTTGAAAGTCAAAGGAGGGATTGGAGGACACTGAAACAAAAGAAACCTTATTTGTATCCCCAAAGTAGCTTATATAATATCAGGAAGGGCTTTGATGAAACCACTGGCCCTACTTAAAGATCTTATTTTCCAAGCCTTTCATTATTTTATTTGCCCTTTTCTGAACTCTACAATTTCCCTCTCTTGTAGCTGGTTCGATGCCCAGAACTGAATGCTGTGCTCCAGCTGTGGCCTCACCGGTGCTGAATAGAGAGGAAGAGCCACCTTCATAGCTTACATGTGATTCCTCTGCTTATACAACCCAATACTGGATTTACTTACTTTGGCAAGATAGCTGCATTGTGCACTGTATTTAATGTTACGTGTACTGTAACCCTGGGTCTTTCTCTGCATTGCTGCCGTTAAACCCCCAATCCTGCCAATCTAAAACTCCTGCCTTTGTTTCCCTGCCCCATCCCCTACCTCCAGACTCCCCTTACGTTCATCCACAATGAATGTCATCTTTATTCTCTCATTTTCTTTCACTGTAATCTTAAACTTTGGCAAAACTTTCCCTCTGTCTATAAATTGTCAGTTGTCAGCCATCTGATTTTTCTCCCTGCTTTGGTAATGGGACGTCCTTCACGTCTTTCCTGTGGTACTTTTCCTTTCCTAGTCATTGAACACTTGGCACGGTGGATTTACCAAGCATTCACTTGGCATTTCTTCTACATCAGATACCTTTGGACTTCTCTGATCTGACCACGTGGTCAGGTTGTTTCCTATACTTTAGTTCTTCTGTTCAGATTTTTTTGACTTCTCCTGACCTCTATCCTTATAACTTCACTCAGGATATAGTATTATCTCATAGCTCTTGTCCCAGGGAGGAGACAGTAACACTGATTTACCATGGACATTCCTAACAATAAGGAAAGTGTTCTTCTTCACTGTGACTAGAATAGTCTTTAATAATTTCAAGCAAATTCTTTCCCTTCTGAGATCTTAATTTTTAAAAAAATGCTACAGCTAAGTGACTATAAATTTCTAAGATGAGTGAGGTAAAGGAAGAAGGAAGAGAAACAAGGTTTTTGTGTTGAACAGGAAATGGTTCTCCAAGGAAGCTGAATTGAGGTTCTTGTTGGGTTTGGTACAGCTGTCCAAAATGGGAGGCAAGACTTCGTTTTTCCTAGATTCCAGAGCATTTTCTTAATCTAAGATTTACAGTAGGTGTTAAGTTGGTTTATTTAGGACTGTTGACAGAGACACACAATCACTTAGTTATATGCTTTGGTTAATCATGTAGAGTGTGGAAAGTGTAACCTTTTCTGATTTATTATGGATGATAAGAATTGGAAGGTCTCCATATGTCCTTTTTATCCATTTCCAAAGTCCCTCTCGTTTATCTAAATACCAGTGTTTCTTATAGTAGCAGTCAAGCTGATGTTTAAGTTCTTGCTTTTTCTTCTTAGTTGATATGTGCTATTTAAACAGCCTCTCCTTGGATCTGTGGTCTTTACTGAATCCAGAAGATACGTCTTTTGCATATTTGTGTCTTGAGAGAGTTAAAGTCAATTTGGAAGTCTTTCAACCCATCAGATGCCTATCATATGGATTTAGGAGTTACCAAACATTTTGCATTCAGACCCCTAATAGATATTCTACATATCAGCATATTGCACTATTAAAGTGTATTTCAAAAGTACACTACAAAATAAGAGGTGGCAAGATCTGTTAGGCTTTTTTGATGAAATATAAAATATATCATCTGACTATTCTTCCATATCCAGAACGCTTAGATATTTCTAGTTTCCTTATTCATAATTACACAAGCCAAGTGAAATTTTAAGCTCGATTCGGTGGTTTCAGAGAAAGTAAATCTTTTCTGTGGTTTCCCACCATATATAGTGTCAAAGATTGGTGGCTTTGCTTACGCCTAGGTCACGTCCTAAGTGTGGCCCCTTCCTTCAAAGGAATGTTAGTTTTATTCCCTGACTTCTGAAATAACCCTCCATGACAGATCCAGCTGGGCTCTTTTGTGTGCTGAATGCCTTTCTCTAGGCGGCCAGTAAGTAGTGAGCAGTGGCATGGTTTCCATCTCCATTTATGGCCTTGGAAGGGTGACAGGGACATGGCTGGGACTCTCCATTTACGGTCCTTGGAGGAGCTGAGAAGAGTGGCTGGGGTGTTCTTGGAGGGCAGAAAGTAGACATTGTGAGATAAAAATAAATAGGAGATGTTTGCAATTCAAATTCCAGTCCCTGGGGGGAGGGTAGAGGGCACCGGGAAGGGGAGTGTGTAGGAAGTCAGATGAGATCTGCTGCAGGCATTTGTCTCCTTCCATTGGAAGGGTTGCTCATCACACGTTTCCCAGGTTCATTTCTGGTTTGTTCCAGAAAGTTGTGTGTTACGTACTTGTGACTCTCCTTTACAAAGAGAGAGGAGGAACACTAATTAAAGTGTGGCAGAAACCTAACTTCTTTAAGGCATCATTTGAGGCACCAGAAGAAATCTCCAGAAAGGGAGAATGAGGCAGGGGATAGGCTGGCTGGTTTTAGGACGGGGTGACTCTAGCCACTCCTCTGCTTTTGTCAGAGGGGGATCATCATCCGTGTCTTAGGTTTATTATTCCTTTTGCCCATCTGGATTTCTGGCCTCGAGGGACAGATCTGCAAAGTATTTGACAGAGTGTCTTCCTGTAGCTTATCAACTGCGATTTAAAGGTACTGAACTTCCAAGGAGGCCCGATAAAGATTATTCAGAGTTGTTTTTGTTTGGCGAGAATAGAGGACATATTGGCTTATGGAGAGTCATCTCACATTCAGGAGAAATTTATAGTCTGGCTGATGTGTGTAAAGTAAGCCTGAGGTGAACTTGTTTGGCACAGCTGAGTTAGAAAGTATTTGGAGCCACCAGAGAAAAAGGGTCTAGTCTGTCACGAAAATCCTCAGAGTAAAACCTAGCAGAGTGGAGAGGAGAGTAGAAGGAACAAAAGGAGACAGCGATGGGACAGAGGACGAATGTAACTAAACTAAATTTGGAACTAAGGCACAAGGACTGGGACTAAGTCCTTGATTTATCTTTTGAAATGTCGTGTAAGATAGCATAAGATGTACCATGAAACTAAGGAAATCATCAGAAATATGCGTTAGAAGACCACGAAGCAAGTTGAAGGGTTGTGCAAGATAATAAAACTATCCAGGTTTCATCTGTGGATTTGCATAATGATATTTGCTGTGTGCCACAAAAAAGAAGTGAAATAACACCCTTCCACCTCACTTCCCCCGCAAAAGGAAATCACGGGCTTCATTTGTTGGTGTGTTTGGCTGGCGGTTTGAGTTGGTAGTATAGACTAGTATTATCACTGGCTAATTTTTAGATGTAGGTATTAGTGTATTTCTTGATAATTGATGTCTGAGACTGGGAATCTGTAGCATTATTGATTTGATCTCTTTTAAATTTTAGCAACTTCCCCAAAGACAGAGTGAGTTAGTATAGATTATGGACTATGTAAGTAACAAGTTTTACCAGCTGATTTGTTTAGGCAATTGTTTTTACCCTGTATTCCTTCTTATCAAGGGTAAGGAAGGTTATATTCTTTGCTTTGGGAAATTCTTCTTTCTGTCCTCCCTCCCCTCACTTTTTCCAAATTCTGGGCACAAATAGCAGCTCTTTCTTTTCTGTGGCAGGTGTGCATCCTATTGGCTGGCTGGTATTTCTTGTTTTCCTTTTTTTTTTTTTCTTACTCTTTTAAAATGGGGGTGGGGGTGTACAAATACGTGTATGGGACACATGCAATAATGTTGTAATGTTTCTTGTTGTTTAATGGATAATTAATTGCAAAGTAATTGTTTGAATTATAACATGTTTGAGTAAATGCTAAATTAGTATTTTTTTCTAATATAATCATGAATTTAAAATCTAGCATTCCTGTAACAATGTGTCTGTGTTTGTCTGTCTGTGTCTGTCTAATAGTAATTAATATCTGTGGTCCGTACCTGGAAGAGGAAGTACAGCTTTAAAGGAATAACAAAAGACTTTGTGTCTTAGACCCTTCGCAGGTGTTACAGTCGGGTGAAAGAACATGGTGTTGGGAAAAGAAAGAGCAGTTACACATTTGAACAGTTGGAACAGGTGTTTGGTCAGGGAGGATGGGATGCTCAGCCCTGCCAGCCTGTACTTATTAACAGTAGTGGCTTGTACCAGGAGCTGGAGTCAGATGGCAGCACTATGGAGGAGTATTCACAGGAGGACTGGGGAAACCACAGTCAGGATCTCCACGGCTATCCAACAGATCAGGAATTGGGTAAGAGAGCCAGTATCTATGTTACTTCTGTGTGTGTGCATGCACATGCGCGTGCACGTGCATATACATATCTTTATATGTGCACAGGTACTTCATATCTGTAATATCTTCTTATACCGTTCCCACCGACAACACAACGCATATAGCCAGTCTATTTGGGCATCCTTAAACTACCAGCCTAGTGCTTAGTGACTTGGGTTCCACAAAATTCTAAAGACACAGAAGAATTCCTAATTCTGAGCTGCACAAGGAAGCTCAGTGACAGGCTACGCAATTAAAAATATCCTGCACCTCTTAGTTCTAAGATGACTGCTAAGAGTGTTGACTCTTGGCTCGACTGGTATAGATATAACTGTCTTTTCCTTCCTTTATCCCCAATACTTTTATTTTTCCTGACTGTGATTTGCAAAAGGTCCCTTTCCAGGCTTCAGTCTGAACAATCAATGAAGGGAGCCTTGGTTTGAAAGGAGCTGATATTTGAACATTATCAGGGATCATACTCCTTCAAACTCTGTAAAGGATCCCATCCCAACAGTAGCTGGAATGATTTATTCCCAGTCTTCACATTAAAAATGGAAAACAAAACAAAAAAACAAAACAAAAAAACACACACACACACACAAAAATGGAAAACAAAACTGGCCATCAAATCTAAACTTGTGTGGACTAATTAAGAGGGTATATGTAGTTGTTTTTCTTTTTTCTTTTCCATAAATGCTCCAATTTTAGTTTTCATAATTTGCAAGTACTAATCAAGTTTCTGCTGCAACCTTTGTACATTCATAGCAAGTTGTGTAATGAGTGCTCACTTATAAGTAAATGTTCTCGCTCTCCAGTGAAATACTCAGGTAGCCCCCAAGGAAGGATAAGTAGGGTTGGTACTATAAATGTGCCTCCCTAGCTTAAGACAAAAGCCAATGGGCACTATTTTACAGAACTCCTGATGACAGAGAAATGCCTAATTCGAAAAAAAAAAGGATTAAATGTTAATATTTCTTGTGAATGCTGTATCTAAAGGAATCTCTCAAATATCAGAAGAGAGAGGGAGCGAAGAGGTTATAAAACTGTAAGACTAACACAGCGTAAGAGAGAGAATTGATGACTAGAAGAATAAGAAGGGCAGATGCTAAGTGATCACTACCTCTTAATTTCAAAACGGTACTAAGATCTAAATTACTTTGGCATCCTCTAACTCTGGTTTTGCTGGAGAGAGTTAAGTCACCTAAACCTTTGGGGAAAAAAATGACATGCATAGTATATATTGATCCTGATATTAGGGGAATAATTGCTCTCTAAAACCTACATAGAAAGTCTAAATAGAACAGAATTACTTTCATTCTCATTCCTTTAAAAATCATGTTTGCCATGAAATTAAGCTTTAAGCTCCTAGCTAGAAATCCGCTGGTGACCTTGAAGAATTTTATACTTGTAGAGCTGGTTTCTGATCTTGCATATAAATGTATGCATCTCATTATGTAAGAGTTATATTTATAAATCTGGCATTGGACAGTGTTTGACACTAGAATTAAGTTCTCACATTGGAAAGTATGGAACAAACAGTAGACATATAGCTACTTAGCTTCATAAATGTATGCCACTGCTTAGGAAAATATAACTTTTTTCAAAACCTCTGTTTTTCAGATGAAATACCTGTCACAAAGAGAACATTAAAAATAAAACAAGAGTCTTCTGAAGAAGCACAGTAAGTAGATGTTCCACCTTTCTACAAAGTGTATTTACCTAAGTTTAATGACAAAAGTCTTGCTGTAATGAAGCATGCTATGAGAGTTACAGCCATGCCACTGAGAGAGCATGTCTAGTTGTTCTTCCTCATCTTTTTAGCCTAAGTTTTCCAGTGGTTAATCCAAAATGTTGAGAATGTTGTATACAACAAGAAGAAATAAATATATGAAAATAAGCGTGTTTATGGTATTTTCCTGTGTGTGCATGTGGTATTTGGATGTTTAAATATGATACAGAGATAAGTCACAGGGCCCAGAGTTTGTCTGGGGTTAAGTGAAATGATAGGAGGGCCAGAGGGACACTTAAATTCCTTATAATATTCCATTTTGGGACTCAAAAAGCAAGTGCTTAGGAACTACAGGGGAGGCCCAATTGACGTAACTAGGGATGAACTCAAGCTTCACAGAATTGGTGTCACCAGTCTCAGACCCCCTGAACTTTTCCCACGGTTGGAACTTCAGAAATAGAACAGACAGTTCTCAGGAACTGTTTCAATAACTGGATCTAGTTCTCATTGTGCTCCATAGCTGTGAATAGCTCATCTGAGGCTTGAGCCCAGGGAGCTTCAGGCCGAGATCAGATCAGTGGGGCAGGAAACTAACAGGCTCTGCAGAAATGTCCTGTGTGGCTGCCTCTACTCCAGGTTTCAGCTCACAGGGTGAGAGGGTTCTAAGAGGCAATTCATTTCCCAATGCAACAGTTTCCTCCGAACTGTTCCTTATTGATGATTTAGGGCTATGACAGTGCTGAATAAAATAACTTCATTTGGGCACGGGATCTTTTCACTCTAGGCTTAGGTGGGATTAGCCTGAACTAGCTGATATAGCCTGTAGTCAGATACACCATCCTTCACCCACGAAGAAGAGTCACCACTTATTTATCCAATACCTACTGTATGTCAGGTATAGCAGTACAGCAGTGAGCAAAACAGATAAAAAGCTCTGCTCTCCATCCCACCTCCTTAGCCGAGTCCTCCTTGAGATCAGTAAAATATTTTAAAAGAGGACAGGAAGAATGGTAGCTATGAAAGATAATTTTTCTTTAAGGCATGACCCATGCAGAAGCATGGTCCTATGTCTTAGCCTCACAAGCACCACAATCTAAATATTAGAAAAGTGATCGAGTGCCTTTGTGTACTCTGAGAAGACAAACAATCTCCAGAAATGCAGTGATTTCATCCTGATGGCCACTTAGATACTTGAGTAGCTTTCAAGACAAACTGAAGTGTGGAGGATAAGTCCAGGGCAGTCTTTGGTTCAAGAAGCAACTGACAACAAAACATTAGCTCTTTGCCATCTTGAAAAGAAAATCAAGGAAAGTAAGAGAGAATGACTATGTGGAAGGTTCCCCAGTTTGTTCCAAAAGCTCTTCCAGAAGGTATGAGCATTTAAGAATAAAGTTTCCAGGATCTGTCACCTTCCAAGAAGCTGTTAGCAAACCACCATTACACCCTCTTTTCTTGCCTGTGTTTGATTGTATGTGAGTGTGGTAGTTGAGTATTTTTGTAGCTTAAACCTATGATTGATGTCGAGTGTAATTGTTTGTTGCTAAGTTGATACTTAACAAACCTCAGTCTTCCAACATCAAAGTTGTACCCTACCTGAGAAATATCCTCATATAAATGTACGAATCATCATGAAGTATCCGTTGGAATTACATGAATTAAGCAGCATGTGAAACAAGAATTTCCCTGTACTTTGTCTTCTTCTGTTAACTGTCCGAATCAAAATTGAAATAATTTCTATACTGTTGCTTCCCTTTATAAAATATATTTTAGAAAAATCTCAATTCATTATCTGGAATTTTTTTTCTCTTAAAACTGAAGCTTAATAATGGAACTTTTTCATCTGAATTCTCAGATCTTAATTCTGTGCTAAACTGACAGTTCTTTTAAATTTGGGAATAGTAATGTATTTCAGACAAATAGAAGAAAATGTCCTTTTTTCATGTTTTTGTATCAGATCAATAGTCATAATCAGTTGTATATTTTCCTATGGCCAGCATGTATGGGCCAAACTTATTGAACTTTCAGAATTTCCAAGTTAGAAATTAATGTGTTCATTCTTTTAAGTGATACCTACTGGTTACTTTTCTGAATACAGCATCCTTCACCTGCTTTTGGTAGTTAGGTCTGAAGGTCATCATATGCACTATACTAGCCACTTTAAAAAGTACATGATCCTTGGTTTCTGAAATCCTAGGGTCTTATGTATCAATAGTTACTAAGTGGAATACAGCCAGACTTTAGAAGTAATGGAAAGCAGTTTTTCACTAGTTCCTAGGAACTTCCCAAGGGTGAGCATGTCTCAGATTTTAATACTATGATTATCTAGACTTGCACAGTCCAATATGGTAGCCACTAGTCACCTATGGCTATTTAAATGTAATTTAAAATTAATTAAAAACTTAATACGTCACTCACACTAGCCACATCTTAAGTGCAATGGCTAACGTATTGGACAGACACAGACACAGGACATTTCCACCATTGCAGAAACTTCTACTGGACAGTCCTCATCTAGACACCTGAAGAATCTGACTTTCATTTCTCTTTCCAGGAAAAGAGACATCATGCAGAATATCATACAGATTTTGGAATCAGTACAGTTGAAATGGGAACTGTTTCAGAGCTGGACAGACTTTTCAAGGCTTCATCTCTCTAATAAACTGGCCATTTTTGGAATTGGTTATAACACCCGTTGGAAAGAGGATATCCGTTACCATTATGCTGAGATCAGCTCCCAGGTGCCCCTTGGCAAGCGACTCCGGGAGTACTTCAATTCTGAGAAGCCTGAGGGACGGATCATCATGACCCGAGTGCAGAAAATGAACTGGAAAAACGTTTACTACAAGTTTTTGGAGATCACTATTAGTGAGGCGCGGTGCCTGGAGCTGCACATGGAAGTTGACTGGATACCCATTGCCCACTCCAAACCAACCGGTGGGAACGTTGTTCAGTATTTATTGCCGGGAGGCATTCCCAAAAGCCCAGGCCTTTATGCCATTGGCTACGAAGAGTGTATTGAGAGGCCCCCCTCACCCCACATGGAGCGACATTCCCTGGACCCAGGAAAGGAGGGCCGGGTTGACTTGGAAACCCTTTCAGCACAAGCCTCACTACAGGTGGAAGTAGAACCTACCCGAATTATCTATTGCTACCTCGGGATCGCTGAGGTCAGGACTCTGCAGCAATGCTTATTTTTACATTTCCAAGCAAATACCAAAACCTTCAGCAAAGATTGGGTCGGTATTAATGGGTTCTTGTCTCAGAACTGTATTGTGGATCCTGGAGTTTCCCCCAAATCCATCTATATCAAATTTGTAGAAGTAGAGAGGGATTTTCTTTCCGCTGGCTCTTTAGTTGAGTGCCTGGAAAAAGCCATTGGCTACCCCTTAAAATTTAACAACTGAATGTCATCCTTCATAAGGATTTGGGCTCTTACCTCTCTCTTCTCTACTCACATCCTGTTACCCAGACTGTCCCTCATCCGGATGCTGCCATCAGACTTCATGGAAACTCTTTCCACGATCGAGCCAGTACAACTAAGAAATCATAGTAGACTTTGGGCAGAAAAAACAGACCTCACCTGAAAATGCTCATTTTGAGCCAGCAAGCTATACAGCGGACTTGCATGGTGGGTCAGTTGTTTCTTTTTTAAAAACAAAAATCAATTTTTAAATGGATTTTAGAGCCCTGATGTAAACAAATGTAGGTACATTCCATATTGGACAAAACTTATACTTTGAGTTTCATATGAAATTGAAAAATTGTATTTTTTTCACGATGTTTCATTTTTACACATCTCTATGTCTCTATATAAGTATTATTTACAACCTTGAATAAATAAGCAATAGATAATGGCAAGTTAAATCTTGAGTCACAGTAAATAAGACTGTTTTTCAATATTACCCTTAGCTACTATTGTATATAATTTAGAGTTTCATTTTTTTCACCAATCAAGTGTTTTGCTATTCCCAATCAGTGTTGCCTGCAAAGACCTTTGTTTCTGTGATGTACCAACTTTATGGTTGTGCTGCCATTTAAACTTTTTTTTAAAAAATCATTAAAGTAATTCCTGGCCTCTTGGCGTACTAGTGGAGCTTTTTGTAGCAGAGTGTGGTCGCACTGGCAGTGGGACTGTGCTCTGACTTTACTGCTAGGGATGAACACAACAGAGTAGGGCAGCTTCCCTTCCTTTCACTCTCTGTACCCCACTGACAAATGTCATTATCTCTTGTCAGAGTAACAAAGGTCATTGGACATTTCATTTTGTGCTACTTTTTAAAAAGCTACAAAAGGATATTCCTTTTGGCCCTACATACATGAATTTGTAAGAGACTCTCATTCCTCATCTTTACACTCAGTAATCAGGGGCAGCTCTCTCAGGAGCACAGGTGGAGAATTGATGTCATCATACTTCCTGTAAAAAAGGAGAGAAGATCTAATAGAAACATCCGAACAAAAATTTTAAGTGATCCATAGGATAGGAAACTGTAAGGTATCAGTCCATTAGGAGGGTAACTATCACGTTTAGATCTTTCAGTGATTTCTGTGGGTCAACTACCACTCCAGTTGGAGGTTAGTACTCTTGGCTAAGAACTACCTTACTAGTGGAGTAGTCAAGGGTCACTTTGGTCTCATGACAGGGACTTGTTAGATTGGTTATTTATCTTTAATGATTCCCCCAGCATCTCTCGGGTACTCTGCTTTAAGTGGACTGCAAATCCAGGTAAGAGCTATAATTCTCCCCGTTTTTCTGTACTATTGAAGATAAAATTGCATATTGATTAAAAAAATGTTCTTTCCTGCAACCTGAGTTGTCTTAAATCAGTGGTTTTTCTCATTCTGATACCTCTTGGTTGGTTGATGCTTATTTATTTTTCCAGTGACTAGAGAGTTATAACCAATGGGATGACTTTTATTAATGTCATTTGAGTCTAGGTTTATGGAGTTGGCTGTTTCCTGATGTGAGCTGCTAAAAGTGGCTGCTAGTTCATGGAGAGTATAAATAAATATCCTGGAATATTTGAGTGCAGCACCTCTTCTCCCTGGGCACAGGCTGTAGGTGTGGGCTTTAGGAAGTTCTCATGAGTTTGCTCTTCTTTGGAACTTGGAATTATAGTCCTAAAGACCGAGGCTTCATTGACCATTTTGTAGCAATAATCTCATAATATTAGTGCCAAGTGCTGCAAGAAAAAGCATTATCACCAGGAGTAGTACATGGCATCCCCCAAACTTTGCCACTGATCAGCCCTAAAACTAACATCATGCTTCATTCATTTCTTCCCCCTATCCCGCTTTTCACTGCTGTTAGTTACTTAGCAGGGGCAGAACATTTGGGAACACTTAGTGAGGATGTCTGAGATCTACCTAACGTTACTGAGAATAGGGCATTGCTAGACCACTGTGAGTGGCACAGGGTGTATGGCAAAGCCTGATCCAATATGTGTTTTCACCATGTGGCTTGGGATGGGTGAGGGGTAGGGGCAAGAGGACAAAGCTGGGCACTGGGAAATGGCGACTTGGAAAGAAAGTACCTTCCTGATACTGAATATCCATTCTCTTTGGCCAGAACAATCTAGAAAAGAGGACAGCAGGGTGTCAGATAACTATATGAGCATTTCTAAAAACAAAAAGACTATTTAGACCTTAATGAAGCCTTATAACTGATTCCAGGAGGATGGAGACACTACATTCAAATGTAAGAATCAGCATTAAAAAATACTGTAGAGACAAAAGATGAGGTATGACGGGGAGAAACACTAGTGAGCTGCAAGTCTCTTAACATATGAAACTATGAACTTAGCTCTTGCACACAACCTGTTTATTCAGGTCACTCACAGATCATCCGCACTAACATTCCCATTTTACACAAGGGTAGAGAGCAATGTTCACCCTAAACTGCATCTCAGCAGAAACTTCCAGAGCTCTGCTAACTTCTACCACTTGACTGCCTCAGGGTCAGCAGAAAAGAAGTGGCTGGAGTAGGAGATAGTATAGAAAATTCTTTGATTGGGTGAGAGCAGTGGAAGAGTCCTGAAGGGACTGTTTCAGTGTCACATGGAGAGAAGCACTGCCTACAAATCTTTATTTGTATATTTACTTCTGATGTTGTAAATTATCTGGGGTGCAAATCCTGGAACGTTAGCTACTGAGTGAATGTTGAGGCCCTCCCTGCCTTACGTAGCACTTGATAGGGATGAGCACAGCCTCTGTAATAAGATGCTTTGGTGCTCCTGGGATACAACCAAGAGCACTGTACTGCTGTTTTTGGAAGGAATTACTTATTTGGGGTAACCTAGGCCTGACCTGGAAATAAAGGAGGGATGTTTACAAGAGGTGCTTTGCAGTGAAGACCAAAGTAAAAAAAAAAAAAGGAAAAAGTGTGTGATAGACTAGACAAACCAAACCAACAGCACCCTCCCCCCCATACATACATACACACACACACACACACACACACACACACACACAATCTACTTGACAATTCCAAGTTTGTAGGTCCCTGCATAAGGATATGAGACTAGCAGTTACCTATTCCTGTTGCCTTTGCTGTCACTGAGCCGCCAAATACTAGATTCCAGGGGTTGCATGAGCAGTCTAGTGTTTGCATAGCCATTTCTCAAAGCCACTGCATGGCAGGTATTTAAAGAGCAGCCAGGCAGGTCACACTAGGAAGAAGCAGCTGAGAGGGTCTACGGGGCGCTGTGTAGAAAAAGACCTTGGGCAGCGCAGGCTCAAAGACCACATTCAGTGTTAAAACAGAGCAGGGCCGTGTGGAGTAAATGGAATCCAGGAGGCCTGGCTGCTTTTCTACCCAGTCAACTGTCACCTAGAGCAGGCAGCGCCAGGGATTCGTTGTTATGCTTTCTGTCCTCGGTGACCTTTGCTCTGTGGTTGAGCCGTGCAGGGATGTTTGAAGCATCTTTATTTTGGCTGTCCGACCGAGAAGCCAGAACGGGTGCGTGCCCTTCTGTAAGAAAGCTGCGGCCGCCAGAGGGCGCAGAGGTGCCTGTGACCGGCTGGCGCGGGGAGGGACGGTTAAATTAAATTTCACCCCGAACATGATCTAGTCCCGGGAATTAAAGGGTCACAGCGGGCCTGAGGAGGGATGGGAGGCAGCGAAGACATGGGGATAAATAAATGGAGGGACTTGGTCCAGTCTACCTTCCCGCAGCTGCCCCCTCCTCCCCAGTCTGCATAAGGCAAAGCCTTATGAGTTAAGCGGGGAGCCGGGATCTTGTTTCCTCAGTTTCCTGCTCAGCTCCTGGGGTTTCCTTGCGCCAGTCACTTCCCTGCTCGGGTTTGCGGCGCAAGCTCCGGGTGACCCTCGGGCCTTGGTTTTAGGGAGTCTCCGAGAACCTGCTGAGAGGCCCCGTCTTGTCCGGCCACAGGTGAACACGGTCCTCGGGTCCACCGCCGGCGCATCCTCCACCGCAGCCTCGGGGCCACGCGGCACGTGCAGGGGTGGGCGTGGCCGCCTCCCTTCCTGAGCCTCTCTCTCTACCCGCTCCCGCGGCCCAACCCGCCCCTGGCCCTGGGAAATTGGTCGTTTCGGGCAGCAGAACCGGGCCCGCGCGGCCGGCACTCTGGACCTTTCCTGCCGCCTCAAGCCCCACACTGCGGAGCCCCAGTGGCCCCGGGAAAACGCGGCTCCCCTCCTCCCCGCTTAGGCTGAGAACGCGTTACCCCCAAGCTCGGAGCCGGTTGGTCGGGCGGGAGCCCCGGCCGCTTAGGGTGTCGGGTACGGGTGGCCCCTGGACGTCGGATAATCCCCAAACCTCCCTTCCTTCCTGGCCCTCCTTCCTACCCCACTTAGCGGAGGGGGAAGGCTATGGCGTAGTCTGAGAGTTAGGGCTCTTCTCTTCTGCCCTTGCCCCCGGCCGGCTGTGAGGGCGCCACGACTCACCCGACCCCACCCTGCGTCCTGACCCGGTGGAGGCCGCGGGAGCCGGCCGTCGGAGCGCGAGGAGCGTCCCCCTGCGGCGGGTCACCCTCGAGCCCCGCCCGCGAGGACGGCGACCTCTCCGCCCCCTCGAATGCCCCGCCCCCAGTCCCCGTCGGTCCCCACCCCACCACCGGCACACGCACGCAGACTCTGGCCAGAGACGCCCTTGGTGTCAGTGGCCCGGCTCCCGCCTCCGCTCCGGCTGCCGTGCGGCCCCAGCACCTGTCGCTTGGTGTGTCCCGGAGCCGGCGACCCTGACTCCGTCGGGGCCAGGGAAGGCCATGGTTTCCCTGCCCGGGTCCCCTGCGACCAGCTTGCTGCGGTTTTTGTTCCTGGGGCTGACTACTCTCGGTGAGTGAAACCCTGGACCTGGAGGGGACATGAGATGGGAGAGATGGGGTGAATCCGACCCTGAGGGAGGTGGTTTTGGGCACTGATGAGGCACTGGGTGGGACAGGACTCCCGTCTCTGACTCTTTCCCTCCCCGCCCTTATACTTCCCCCCACGCAGGGCATCACTTGTGTCCCCGCTGCGTTGGGGAACAGCTCCCACTTTGGGTGCGGTGTGTTTGTGGTCGGGGAGAGGGTTAGGGCACTGCCTGGGGTGAGTTGTTGGAACCATTCCTCATCCCCACTCCCCACCTCCACCCAGCAGAGCCGGATGAGCTGAGCTGCTGGATGAGACACTGGCTAAAGAGCTTAAGGACTTAACTCCAGCCCCCCTCCCGACCTCCACCCCACCACAAACTGATGTGCAAGAGCCCCTGGGGAATTCCCTGGTTCCCGGGCTTGACACACGCACTTCACCTCAATTCCCCAGCCCAGATCCTCCCACTTGCCCCCTCCTCCTGCTTCCTGCCCTGGGAATCAAGGGAGGTGCCCCCAAAGCACGACCGTGAGGTCATTTGGGACACAGGAAATGGAGGAGGGCTTTGAATGCCTAGAGGAGCAGAATTGTGACCCCCCCCCCCAAGAGGTCCACCACCCCCATTGGCTCCCAGAGCCAAAGGGACAAAGGAAATAGAGAAGAGGGCCTTTGAGTCAGAGAGGAAGGGCCCCTCCTTGGAGCAAGTGCTTGAGGAGTGTTTGAAGGGCTCCAGGAGCGCCCAGGAGCTGGGGTGGCCCAGTGCAATA